AAAAAAAAAAAAAAGAATAAGGCCACAGCTAGTCCTACATGCAAGTCCAGAATAGAACTAACCACATTGCCTTCTCAACTTTCTCTTCTGCAGGTTATTGAGGTGGTGATCCGCTCAGAAGAAGGGCTCTCAAGGGACATGGTGAAACACCTGAACAGCATTGAAGAACAGATTTTGGAGAGTTTAGCATGGAGTCACAATTCTGCACTGTGGGAGGCTCTCCAGGTTTCTACAAACAAAGTTCCTACCTGTGAAGAAGTGAGTCTGGGCAAGGCTGATAATCCTGTCATTAAAAAATAACAGCTTTATTGAGAGATAATTCATATACTATACAGTTCACCTATTTTAAGTGTGCAGTTCAGTGGCTTTAGTATATAAATAGATATGTGCAGCCATAACCACAATTTTAGAATATATTCATCACTTCAATAAGAAACCTACATCCTTGGGCTATCACTTCCCTACCCCCATGTCTTCTCCCTAGCTCTAAGTAACCACTGATCTGCCTTGTTTCCATAAATTTGCCTGTTCTAGACATTTCGTATAAATGGAATCATAAAAATGTAGTCCCTTGTGACTGGGCTTCTGTCACTCATCATAATGTTTTTAAGGTTCATCTATGCTATAGAATATATCAGCATTTCATTTCCTTTTTTTTTTTTAAGGCAGGGTTTCACTCTGTTGCCCAGGCTGGTGTGCAGTGGCACAAACGTGGCTCACTGACTGCACCCTCAACTTCCTGGGCCCAAGAGGTCCTTCTGCCTTATTCTCCCAAGTAGCTAGGACCACAGGCACCTACCACCAACACCCACAGCCAGTTAATTTTGTTGTCGTTTGTTTTTTGTGTGTGTAGAGACAGGGTCTTGTCATGTTGCACAGGGTGATCTCAAACCCCTGAGCTCAAGTAATCCTCTTGTCTTGGCCTCCCAAAGTGCTGGAATTGTGAGTGTGAGTCACCACATCTGGCTCATTTCCTCTTTTTGCCAAGTAATATTCCATTGTGTGGTTGCTACATTTTATTTATTGATTCATCAGTTGATAAACATTTGAGTTGTTTCCACCTTTTGACTTTTTTTTTTTTTTTTTTTTTTATTTTTTTTTTTTTTTTTT